ATGGTGACGTAGCCAAATCAGCAAGATGTTGTCGCATCACGATCACTGACTTCTTCTGTGAAGTCTTAGCAAGCAAGTAATTTTGTCTTAGCACTGAAGATTTCAGTATTATTCTCGTTCAGGTTTAATGAATTGCTAGCTACCTTGCCGTTGAGGTTTCGTTCGGATGCGGAAATCCTGAGTCTAGCACAAAGCACTGTGTTTGTGTTTCCTTTTACAAGCGGAGGCTTCGCACTTTGCCTTTCCCGGTGTTGTGGTGTGGCCATGCCACTGTCTGTAACGAGCCATTTGTGTGTGCGTGTGTGTGTGTGCGTGTGCGTGTTTCTTTGGCATATGTGTGCGTGTGTGTGTCCCCGCTCACAGGAGAGTACCATTTCCAGCCCAGACATGATTTCGATTTCAACTGCAACGGCGTTAGGGCGCGCTCAAACTGCGACCAAAACCAGCGTCCATGCGGCCATGCGGCCAAGTTGCATGGCAACGGCATGAACTTGACCAAAACGTCGCGGCCACGTTTCAAATCGTGACCGCGACCTCCGGAGGGGGGTGCCACGACTTGGCGGCAACATGATCGTAGACGTGAAGCGTATTTGTGTACAACCTGGTCTGAAGTATGTTCAATTTCTCAAATTCCGGTGGGTTGATTCATGAAAATCGGCGGTTGTCGATGTCACCTCGACATTTGCACATTTTTAAATTTTTTGTAGTTGTGGTCCTGCACGCACGCACCGCCATTCTTTGCCCTTTTTGGACGATGTCGATTTTGTTTTTGTAGTTGCTTCGTTGTGATCGGGTCAGTGACCAATTTCTACAGTGTACTCGTTCAATACGATGGCAGCTTGGTCTGGCTTTTCGGTTTCGGAAATCATCTCTCTCTACTTTTCTGCGATGATGGAATGCCATACCTCAAGACATTTCAGTTTTATATCATCGGAAAATACAGTTCTCATCTCGGCAACAGACGAAAGAAACCACTACCGGAATTTCCACTGCACTGGCACTTGCTCTGACCACGAGGTCACAACACACTGCAAGCTGTTCCCGCGTCTAATGTAGGAATTAAATTATATTCTTTTTTTCGCTTTTCTTTATTCTTTGCATTTTACTTGCTCCTTACTGGCTACTATCAGCCGGAAAATCTCTCTACTACAATTTTCAAACAATAGTGCTGCTGTTTTTTTGTTTTTTTTGTTTTTTAGTTCTGGTTAGCTCCATGACTGGTGTACCTTGCACTTCCAATGTATTTTCTTCATTTGTATGCACGGTATTTGCGTATGATCACGAGCATCCTATTCTTTTCTATTAACACGAAGCATGTGTCTTTTTTTTTACCTGCTGCGACACCGCACTATCGCGTTCGACGCATTGTCCTGTTTGGCATCATTTCCTGCTTCTAAATAATGCACAACATTATGTCGTGCATTGCCTTGTATTTCCTGCTTCTTCAAAGTGAACCCTACCGAGCACCTCTGCGATAATCTCCCTCTCGTGTACCCAGTGTGCATAACATGCCTTTTTTTTGTTTATTTCACGCGGCCCCTAGTACCTTGATTGGACTTCGCCCAGAATTAGTTTGGCTTCCGGAGTTCCTGTAGTGTGAATGATGTTCGGTTCCACCTAACATAACGTTATTCTGCATTGTGCCATTGTCAGCCCTAAGGCATTAACAAGAGTCTATAATAACCCCAGGAGCTTATAATAATTATATTCTTAGTATTACCAAGTTGAATGGTTTTACCCTGACGATGGACCATGCCCGAATACTTGGTGAATGCATTTTTGTCATCATTACTTTGTGCCGTCAATAACACACCTTTTAGCAGTGCCAAGAGTATATAAGAAGGTTATAATACAGAAATGGAGACCTCTTCGATAGCGGGCAAGCGCAGCACATTTTTCCACAAGCATCAGCCATTTTTCTTGTCTAGAGCCAGTTCAAAACAGTCAGAAAAAATATCAGCTTTTACGGATGCTCCCGTAGTTGAAAATAGCTCGCTACATTCGAAACATTATGGTATCTTTTTCAACAACCGTTCAGCATGTATTGCATGGACCATGAATACGATAAAACACAACATAAAATAAAGCATTGATAGTGACTTACGCTTCTGGCAATAGTCTCCGCTGAATCCTTCTGGTCAGAAGCATGCACCATTGTTGTCACACTGACCCTGGTTCGAGCACTTGCCCACTGCAGCCCCGATTGGATATGCAGCCACGGCGTGTGCACACGCACACGCACACACACACACACACACACACACACACACACACACGCACGCACACACACACACACACACACACACACACACAGAAAGAGAGACCAAGAAACAGAGAAACAGAGACAGAAAGAGAGACAGCGAGACAGAGAGAGATAATTGTTTGGACAAAGTCAGCCATTGCGATTGCTATTACCATTACAGTCGTTCCTGTCTAATCCGGCACCTTTTGCAACGGCATTTTCTTCTGGAATGTCATGCAGTCGTATTTATTCAGCTTT